AGTAGTACACTCTACACGTGGCTAACTATATGCCTTTGTCTCTGTCCCAAGAGCCAAACACCTGTATTAATTTGTGTATAGTGTTTTCCTTGCACTAAGTTCTCTGGAAATGAACTGCAGTGCTATTGACAAAGACAAACCAAATACTGGTATACAATCAAAACCAGTTAATAACAACTATGCCACCCTTGCAACGGCAACAAAATCAGCAACAGAATCAAAGACAAACTGGATATTAACACACCATAAAACCCAATACAAACTAACACTGTAACATTTCTAGAAAAAGAGATCTGTAATCATAATTTAGATGCAAAGACAAAGCAAATATGAGATACCATAAGTATCTACTAAATCCAACAACCATACCATCATTGCAATAGAAAAGAATCAAAAATAGTAGCAGAGAGTTAACTAAATATTAATAAACCTTAATGGTAGGGCCAGGGATTTAGCTCATTGGCGCCATGCCTGCCTCACAAGAACAAGGTCCTGAGTTGAATCCCTGGTACCGAGATAAAACAAAACCTTAACAGTAATACTATTAAAGATGGAGTAGTGGTGAATGAAAAAATTTTGAAAAATAAAGGAGAAAAAAAATCTTATTAAAGAATAAGAGAAAAATATAATTACATAAAAATAACAGAAAAAGGAAAAAAGGAAAACCAGCAAAATAGAAGGTAAAAATGGGGGGGGGGGGGAGCCCAGGCCCAAAAAACCAAAGAGAAAAAAAAGGGGTAAGAGTCCAAAAAAAAAATTCTTCCATGTTTTTGAATGAGTGCTGTATTTCCAAGGTCTGCAGTATTGGAATCCACAAGATATGGGGGAGGGCTACTGAATCACTAAGACCTAGTTTACTTCTACACTCACATTGTTGGTGAATAAATGCTGGATCCTGCCCTGCCTTTCCCACTGGGCATGGCTGGTCAATGACTGCTGCCCTGGGCCAAGGGTTTAGCTCAGTGGTGGTGCGCCTGCTTCCCAAGCACAAGGTCCTGAGCTGAGTTTGATCCCCAGCTCAGGAAAAACAATTTCTGCCCTAAGGATATAATCACTTAGGCCCTTCAGTTTCTGTGTTCTGTCTAGCTTTACAGCCTGTGGGTACCCACTTCTGCTCCAGAAACTTCTGTCCATAAACCCCAAGCTGCGGCAATTGGCCAAACCAAGCTGTATTCCTGCTCAGATTGGTAAATGGGGAAAGTAAGACCATTGAGTTCTGTGCTGGATGTAGACAATGAGGCAGGGATTCAAATAGACTGCTGGGGTTAAATGCCAGCACTTTTGAGACTCATACCACTCTGAAAGCTACACAAACCCAGCCTGACTTTTTTTTGGTACCAGGGATCAAACTTGGGACCTTGCACTTGCAAGGCAGGTGCCAGGGGCCCTAGCCTGGCTTTTTTTTAACATGGATCCCAGTGACCTTTCAAGCCTGAGCTTAAACATTTTGGGGGAGGGAGGTCTGTCAGGCCGGTAGCGTCTCCATGACTCTCAAATCACTGTGGTAGGGAAACATCAAAACTGGTTATTCTGTAGCAGATTTTAAACAACTGCTCCTGATCAAACCTCAAATATGGTGAACATAGAACTGGACTTCTTCCACAACTCGTCTGCCTTGTAGAAGGAGTAACTTTCAGAGTAAATCTCTAGTTTTGGCAATTTACAATAGTTGTTAGGTTTTCTTGGGAGCTAGCTAGCACTGCCAACCCAGTCTGTCTTTCCCTGGGGCTCCCAAACTTCTCCCATCTTACCTTATGTCATATGAGATAGACCTCCCTCCTTGGGAGCCAGGGTCAGCTTTCCAGACTGCTTCATTCTTTTCTCTGCCATGTGCTCTACATCTTCTGCTTCTATGTAGTTTCTACTTTTCCTAACAGCTACCTCTAGATTCTCCAAGATCTTTTTCCCCCTCACTTTAAGTTGTTTTCCAGTATCTTGATTCCAGATCCCAGAGAAGCTGTATTTTGCTGTCAGTCTCTAACATTTTTGTCTACATCTTTTCTTTAAAGTTAACTCATCACTGGACTGGGGATTTAATGCTCAGTGGCACCATGCCTGCCTTGCAAGTGCAAGGTCTTGAGTTCGATCCCCAGTACTGCCAAAAAAAAAAAAAAAAAAATTAGCTCATCACTAAAACAGTATGATAAACTCATATGACCTCTATCAGTTAACTTTGAAAGATTCAATAGTAATGTTTCCCCAAAATCCAGAAATTTTTTATATGTAATACATCAATCCACAAATACTAAAGGTATACAATTAAATTAGTTACTTTGCTGTTGTGTGGACAGTAATTCAAACCAAAATGTTTCAGGTGAATACAATGGAATACAAAAAACGTCAAAACCGCAATTTTTTAGTTCTAATCCAATTAGACATTACACTTCTGGTTTTACTATCGGTCCTAACTCCTCTCCCAAATTTACGAGGAAAGCTGGCCTTCAATGTCTTCTAGTTGTCTGAGCTGACCTGAAGGTGACAGACATTCACGCTCTCCTAATCTGTTCCTATCCATATCCAAAGGGTTTTGAATGCAGCTTCACAACACAAGATCCCATCACTTTTAGATGCTTCTAGACACTGTGCCCACAGGGTTTCTTTTGTTTGTTTTTTGGTACCAGGGATCATACTCGGGACCTTTCACTTGCAAAGCAGGCGGCGGAACCACTGAGCTAAATCCCTGGCCCTCCACACAGTTCTTGACAGAGAACTTTTAGGGGAGGACTTCCTGCAACTGGCAGTATTTGAGAATCTCGGGACAGTAGAAATATCTAATTCATCATTTTCAACCCCCCAAAAGCAGTTAGGTTCTCACTGCTAACACTGCTGACACTTCTAAGATCATGGAGAGAACAGATGCCAGTCAGGTCCACACCCATGCATTTGAACTTCTAAGAGCAGACCCAAATGCCTGTACAACTATCATTGTAATCTCAAAACCCAGTCATTATGTGCATGGTCAGACAGGCAGGTGATGACACCCACCTTTCCACGTATCTTACCCCCAAACCTCACATCCACCCTTATACTTCACCCCCTGAATGGGAGAAATGTGTTATCAACTCTCCTTTTGGGAATTATTTCCAATTTAGTGAAATGCCTTCCTTATTCACTTTGTTTTGAGGCATGGTCTACGTAGTAGCCCAGGCTGTCCTCAGTTCCTCCTGACTCAGGGTCTTGAGCACTGGGATTACAGGTGTGCACCACCAAGCCTGGCTGCAATATACTTTTAAATGGAACATTGTCTTGAAGCAGCCCACAGAGTTATGGCTGAGAAAAGACATACTGATGCCTCATAGCATTAATATCTCACATATCACCAAGCATGGTGGTACAAACCTGTAGTCCCAGTACTCAAGAAACTGAGGCAAGAGGATCACCATTGATTCTGAGGCCAGCCTAGGCTACAGAGTTCAAGGCTTGGATGGACCACATAGCAAGGTAATTATCTATATATCTTAGTTCATAATGGAGTGATAAAACTGTCTTAAGTAGCTTTCTATTCAGTCATGAGTCTACTTGCCCTTCCTTTCCCATGCAAACTAGTGAGAAACACTGCTTTCAGACACTGACCAACAAGACAACTGTGATTCTCCAAATATGGAGAACAAATGAAAGGAGCAGGAACCACAGGCTCAAGTCAGGAAGAGGAGGTGGTAATGTATTTTTGTAACTGGCTGAGTAGTGTCGACAGTGGCTTGGGGCAGGACAGTAAAACAATTAAGAGGCTGGTGTGGCCTTATTATGTTCAAGCTACTGACAGCCTGAATAGAGGCAGTTGGTTTATAAAAGTAGATGGAAAAGGTATCTCAAGCTGACTAGCCATAATGTATATGGCTTAAGTAATTAAGTAACTGTGAGCAAAAAACAACTGAGCAGGGTAACTACAAAGCATGGGTATAGTGTGGAGTGGGGTTCTGCAGCTGGAAAATGCTTTGGTATTTTTCTTTCTGTGGAATACTTAAGCAGAGATACATGTATACTAAGCAGTTGCTTAAAAAATGGTGTGATGCTCCGAAGGGCAAAGTCAGATGTAAATACAGACTTGGATTCATCAGCTTATGAACAGTAACTGAGTGCTTGCCTGACATGTGCGAGACACTGGTTTTATTACCAGCACTGTGAAAGTAAAATATAAAAGTAAAAAAAAAAACCACTGAAAAGGACACTAAAAGTTTTCCCAAGATCAACATGACAGGTAGCAGAATTAAAATATATAACCCAGATCTAAGACAATATATTTGCGAACTATAACATACTGTGCTCTCTCCAATGGAAATCTATGAAGACTGTTTAGTATAAAAATCTCTACTGGCCAAGTGTGATGACACATGCCTGCAATCCCAGCACTTGGGAGGCTGAAACAGGAGGCTCACTACAAGTTTGAGTTCAAGCCTGAACTATATAGTGAGATCCTATCTCAAAAAACCCAACCCTCCCCCAAATACATATAATCTCTACTATAAGCAAATATCCTCTGAAATGTTTATATAGATATTCACCAAATAACTCTCCCTTTTATCCCCAAATTCTAAACTTTATCCATTGCTGAAACTTCACTTACCTTTGCTTTGAGACAATCTTTATTCAAGGGTTCTATAGGTTGATTATACTGCCCTCATTTTTTATACTGGGAACTTATCTAAAGAAAATGCTGGTGTCGTTCATAAGACTTTTTTATAGACAAAGCTTGAGAGGAAGTCAAAATATTCAGCCCTAGATCAAAATAGTTTTCTGAGGTTCAGAGGTCTACCTGACTTGAGCACTGGCCAATGTTTACTGCAACAACAGTGATTCAATGCCAAGGCTATTTATTTCAAGTACTAGTATCACCATATTTTATTTGAAACACAGAGAATTCAACTTTTTCTCTAATGTTTAAAATAAATGTATTAGCAGTGAAAAACTATTCTAATACATAACATCAATAATCAACTACATAAGTGGTATTCAGTGTAATACTTTATTTTCTATGGTATTAAACAAAAGCCAAGAAAATATCAAGTTAGTTTAAAAGGGAAATCTTTACTGCTTAACGAAAAAAATACAAACTGGTACTTTTATAATAGATCATATTTTACATTAATATAAACAAAATCACTAATGTATCTATATGCTTGGTTTCCTAAAACTACAATGAACCACAGAATAAAAGAAAAGGCTGTTTTTTGGGGGGAGCAAATAAACATTTGGGAAAACACATAGCATGCTTTTTATTTTTTAACTGTCTATGCATAAGGCATTGACATAACTAAGTTTTAATAGCCACCACCTCCCCTTCCCTGTCCAAAGTAGCCACCTCCAAACCCCCCCCTGCCACCTCCTCGCTGGAATCCCCCAGATCCTCTGTAACCTCCCCCACCAGGTCCTCTGAAGTCTCCCCCACCAGGTCCTCTGAAGTCTCCCCCACCTGGTCCTCTGAAGTCTCCCCCACCTGGTCCTCTGAAGTCTCCCCCTCCTGGTCCCCTGAAGTCTCCCCCACCAGGTCCTCTGAAGTCTCCCCCACCAGGTCCTCTGAAATCTCCCCCACCAGGTCCTCTGAAGTCTCCCCCATTAGGTCCTCGGAAATCTCCCCCACCAGGTCCTCGGAAGTCTCCCCCACCAGGTCCTCGGAAGTCTCCCCCATTAGGTCCTCGAAAGTCTCCTCCACTAGGGCCTCTGTAGTCTCCACCAAAGTTGCCTCTGTAACCCCCTCGGAAACCTCTATAGCCCCCACCATATCCTCTTCGGTAAGAGTTGGAGCCACCTCCATAGCCTCCACCTCCATAGCCACCACCTCCATAACCTCCACCGCCATAGCCACTACCATACCCTCCAGTGCCATACCCTCCACCACCATATCCAGAACCCCTTCTATATCCACTTCCATTATCATATCGAGCCATCTTGGGAGGACGTGGACCGTCTCCATACCTAGGAAAAGCAAAAACCCACCAGTTTAGTATTCTTTCTTTTTTTATAGTGTGGGGGAATGAACCCAAGGCTTCATAGAGTCTAAGACAGTAAATCACTTAATACATCTCAACTACTCATCCAAATGTACAAATTTAGTCATAATTTGAACATTTACTGCACAAAAAACAATGAAGCCAACACACAAATACAAACTAAAATGAAATTAATCTGCAATTCCAAAACAGATAAAAGAGTATCAATTATTAAAATGTTCACTTTTACTCAATTCAATGGTACAGTGCTCTAAGACGATCAAGTATTAAATAATACATTAGGGGGCCGGCAATTTAGCTCAGTGGTTCTACCACCTGCCTCGGAGGCACAAGGTCCCAAGTTCAATCCCCAGTATCAAAAAAACAAAAAGCAAAACAAAACAAAAAATAATACATTAGGAAGAGGTTCCTGGCACCACGTTGACTATCACATTAATACCAAATATTTTCTGGCATTAATAGTGAAATGTGTTTTTAAAAACTATCTTTGGCAGGGGTAGGGGTAGTGGGAGGGGCAGGGGAAAGGAAAGGGAAAGGAAAAATGATGAGAAATGGAAAAAATGGAAATAAAGTCTTTGTAAATAGGGAAGGGTGGAGGGCGTGGAGGGCTAGGAATGGGGAAAAAGTAAGAAACAAGATGCATTATGTAAAGGTACAATTCCCAATGAGAAATGTAATTGTGTGGTATACCTACAATGTACCAATAAAAGAATTTAATAAAAAAAATTAAAATTTAAAAAAACCAAAAAAAACAACTATCTTTGGCAATTTGTTCACACCTAAATTTGTCTCATATGGCAAACAATGAAAATAAGGCCTAAAAACTGCAGAAATCAAGATGTCCCACCAACAATTTCAATTCAGTATACGCCAAAACTTCTTTTTACTTTAATAGTAAATCTAAGGGACATGATGGCAGTAGTACTGCTCCTAAGATACATGAAGAATACTGATGAACCATATCATTAAGTCCACAATGTAACAAATGATTAAGCAAGTCACAAAATGCTGAAAATGAGTAAACCTAAATGAAAACCACATGTATGATCACAGATTGTAATATTCTGCTTTCTCTGTAGGTAAATAAAAGATGAGGTCTAATAAAATTAAAGAAGAAAAAATCTGTAGCAAATGAAACATTTTAAAAATTAAGAAAAATTTCACATTTTTTTTGCCTTAAGATAGCCATAGTTAGCCACACATGGTGGCACATACTTGTAATCAAGCATTCTGGGAGGCTAAGGGACAAGAATCACAACTTCGAGCCCAGCCTAGAAAACAGCAATATCCTTATCTCAAAATACAGTTTTGCACTGGGGATCAAATTTAGGCAGGTGTGGTGCCACTGAGCTACATCACTAGCCCTCTTTACCTTAAAATGTAAAGGAGTGTCTGGGGATATGTATAATCCCTAGTAATAAAGAAAACAAAAAGCCACAGTCTTCTATTTCCCTAAGATAAATCCTGATGTTTTTTATTTTAAGGAAAGAACAATTTAATCCCTTATTAACCTTTTTTTTCTTTAGATATCAAAACAGTATTAGGGATTTAGCTCAGGGGCACCGGCAACTGCCTCATGGCCTCGAAAGCACAAGGTCCTGAGTTTGATCCCTGGATGAACAAAACGAAAACAAGAAATAGTACTAGACTATATCATTTTCCTGTTCTATATCCAGCCTGGACTACATATGTCCTTTTAAGGCCCCTGTTTGTCATTAACATGTACTGCTGTTGCATCCACATTAACACAAAAAGTAAATAACATTCTTCTGTTCTGAGTGTGTCAGCCCATCAAAATTCCATATTCACTCTCTGTCTACAATTTTATTTCCAAATTTTTTTGCCCCAGGACCGGGGATAAAACTCAGGACCTTGCGCTTTTGAGACAGGCACCCTGAGCTAAATCCCAAGCCCTGTCTACAATTTTAAATAGAGCAAGACCTCTATCAACTAGCTCTGGGAATTCTAGTCCTGCATGTACCTACCCTCTGCTTGGCTGAAAGACAACTTATACTCACCGTGCAGCGCCAATCATAAGGCTTATACCAGCTGCTGAGGGCCTAGAGATTTGTCGGATCATGTTCAACATATGCTCATTTACAGGGTCCAATTGGCTGATGATATTAGGTTGTTTGGTTACTTCAACAACCAGAGCTTCCATGGCTGCACGGAGAGCAGTGATGCAGGCAGCAGCATCATGAGATATTTGCAGTCTGATCCTAAAATGAAAAACAGCAAAACAAACAAAAAGAACCCCCCAAATTAGACCATTATCTCTCAGTTTCACACATGGCAAATCATATAATAAATCTAACTGCATTACAAGTAACCAGTACTATTATCAGAATGACTCCAGACTTAGGCAAGTAGAATAAAGAATAACAATCTGCACTGACTTCTTAGAATTCACTACTAGCTATGAACAGTAATCTTAAACTGTAAAATCTTTTTTTGGGGGGGGGGAGAGGGAGAGGGGGAGACAGGGTCTCACTATGTAGTCAAGGCTCCCCTTAAACTCACTATATAGCTGAAGCTGGCCTCGAAATCACAGTAATCCTCCTGGCTTTAGCCTCCGAAGTGCTGGGATTACAGGAATGAGCCACCACGCCCAGCAAACTATTAAATCTTATCTAGTCAAATAGTTTGTAATACAGGTCACTTGGCCTGCCCTCATAAGACACTCAGAATATTAAGAGTTTTCAAGGGTTTCTAAAATATGGCTGATTGCATTAACTGTACTCTAAGCTCTATAACATTTCTGTAAGGTGCTCACTGTTAGCACCCAAGGTCCAATTTGGTGGTGACAGTATTTATAGAAACAGCTTAAATATGAAATATTTTTACCAGTACAGTAAAACCTTGGTTTGTGGGCATACTTTGTTCCAGAAGTATGCTTATAATCCAAAGCACTTGTATATCAAAGTGAATTTCCCCATAAGAAATGATAGGAACATAGATGATTCGTTCCAAAACCCAAAAATATTCATACAAAAATGATTACAATACTGTAAAACAAAATAATAAAGAAAATACAAAATATACAGAAAAACTATCCTACACTTACCTTTAAAAACCTTCATGGTTGGTGTGAGGGAGACAAGAGAGAGGATTACCGTGTAGGACAACTTTCACTATCACTAACGAAATCACTGCTATCTATCAATGGAATCTTTTTCTTTCCAGGCAACTTTAACAAGGAATTTATCCAACGACACTTGTTTCTGATTCTGCAGATTTCGCAGAAATGTGACACTGCACTATCCTTAAACAGATTCATTATTTGCACTGCTACAGCCTTACTTGGGTGGTACTTTTCTACAACATTTTACACTGTTTTCCACATTATATACATCTTCCTAATCTCATTTGAAGTGATGGATTTCCCCATCTCTTTCTTTCTGCTCTGCAAATGAGATCTACTCTATAACCTTTTCCTGTTAGGAAACAATCACCCACAATCCTACAATGAGAGAACCATTGGCTCAATCGTGATCATGTGACATTGAGCATGTGCTACTTACATTGCAAGTTAGAATTTATTAGGAATGTTTGCTCAGCTTGTGGAACATTCACAGAACAAGTTACTCGCAACCCAAGGTTTTACTGCATAGTCAATTTAAGAACTTTGTTTATAATAAAAAACCATACTACCAAGATTTTCCACTCTCCAAGAAAAAATATTACAAAGCACCTTGAGTCATTCAATTCTGCTGTTTATTTCACATACTTAAGTTCAATTAGAGCTGAGTTCTAACACATCTTAGTTCTAAGAATTCAATTTGTAGTCCAAATCTGAAAATCCATACCAGTCATCTACAAACACAATCTGTCCATCAGATTGGACTTTCTTGGAGGCAAAGAGAAGCAACTGCAAGGGGGTAACTAAGGTCATGCCTTTAGCAGAGATGGCTCGGGTTCGAATCTGCAAATGGAAAAAGAGGCAAGAGAAATATTGTTGGCAACCTATCAAGTAATGTCATTTAATGACAATAAACAATGCCATGAACATTAAAACTCACATTCACAAAGACAAATTAAGACAATCTGGCTTTACCAAACTTTTCAAATCTCTTCTTACCTTTTCACCAAATACAAAGAAGGGAGAAGGGTACTTCATGTCTTGGCTGCTAAACGGACAATTAACAGATGACTTATGGATAAGTGCATTACGCCCTTCAGTGGTAAGAATTTTTCTCTTTTCTTTATGGTAGCATACATTGGGGTACACACCAAAGGCCAGGAGGGAGATAACAACATCCAAATTATTATCTGGTCCAGTGTTAGTGAACACTTGTGTCAACAAACACTCTGTTAAGGAGTTAAAACAAAAGAATCAGTTAACTAAGTAATTCTCACATTATACACAAACTGAGAATTAGGAGAAATGACTATGCCCACAAACCCCGCTTTAGAATAATCTGGCTAGAACACTTTTTTCTCAGAATCCTACTTATAGCTCAGATTAAGTTCAGGGAGAAAAATCTGCTAAATCTCCGTAATAAGAAAATGAAAGTTAAATAAAAATTAAACTCTTATAGACACTATCACAACATATGCTTAGGTGACTTCACTATTTTATCTATTCTTCTTAAACAGCTATTACTTGTAGAGAAGACAGGATGATAAACTAAAAGGATACCCACTGGAATGGTTTACCAGACTATACTTTTACTTCATCACTGTCTCAAAAACCTGACATGGTGCTAAGAACAGAGATTATAACTTGTTCTAGATAAACTTGAGTTGTAGTTTTTCAACTCCTAAGTGAATGAATCTGAACAAGCAATTTAAATGTTGGTGCTAGCTTCATTGTCTACATAACAAGAGTAACAATACTGTCTTCTCATACTAATGTAAAGATGTTAACATATAAAAAAAATGTCCTTAGGGCCGGGTATTTAGCTCAGTGGTTCCACCGCTTGCCTCAAAAGCACAAGGACCTGAGTTCGATCCCCAGTACCCAAAAAAAAAAAAAAAAAAAAGTCCTTTCCGGTTCGTTTGATTTTTGGGAAAAAATTAGGAATTCACTCTACAACAGATGAGAACTATTTTGCTTAAATTGTATTTTTAAAAAATTTAGCATTTTGTCCACCTGTCTTACAACACATCCTATTTTTCGGTTATGGATTCCAGTTCTCAATATTTAACCTCAATGAAAAAATTACTATAGCACAATTAACACCAGTTATGGTACAGCATGTCTGTAATCCCTACACTTTGGGAGACTGAGGGAAAAGGATCCTAAATTCAAGCCCAACTTGGGCAATTTAGCGACTCAGCAAGACCCTGCCTCAAAAATAATGATGCTACCTGCCTCACACGCCCAAGTTCCCAAGTTCGACCCCAGGTACTTTAAAAAAAAAAAAAAAAAAAAGAATGAAAAGGGTTGGGGATGTAGCTCAGTATAAAGACCCTGGGTTCAATCTCAAGTACAGTGAGAAAGGGCAAAGAAAAAGGAAAAAGAGCTAGATTACTGTTGCTGTATCATGTATGATAAAATCCTCTGTGATTATCTTTTGAAAGTTTAAATGCAAGCCAATTAAAATTCAATGATTGAATTTATTTCAAATCTAAAAATGAATCTCTCTCAAACTCTTCCACCATACTTTTTGCTTCCTTTATAAAATGAATATGAATAAATACTACCACCATGTTCAAAGAACTAAGATATAGCTTAGAATAGTGGCAAACCTATAGCATCTGTGTCACAGCGGGAAGTGTTATCACTGAACGCTCTAAAAGGTTCCCCTATCACTAGCTTAGAACATAACAAAAGAACAGGGTTAAACGTTTGGATCTCAAATATACTATCCTGTCGATATGTATGTAGTACATAAATGTTATTTCAGATATATCTAAGAATGAAAAATCTTACCTTCTGGAAATCCAGAATTAAGCAGAATTTCTTTAAGCTGAACTTTGGCCTCCCAAGTCATTCTTAATGTAGCCATATTGAGTCTTTTGTGCTCACAAAAACGTATCTCTGCTTCTTCTCCACCCATTCTAAAATAAATGAAATGGAATGCTAAGAAGTCATTCTCTAAGACCAGAGGATTAGATTTAGGTTAAGAACTATAGACAGTTTACCCGATTCTAGCAGTAATTCCATTCTAAGTCCATACCTAGCATCATCCCAGGCTTGGAATACTGATAAAAGGGCCACATGGTCAGAAAATCTGTTTCCAGCAAAATTTCGATGGATGTAGCCCAGCCGCTTCCCTTCACTGATGAAAGGCTCTGGAAAGCAGGTAGCAGCAGCAATGGTACAGACAGCATCTCCCACACTGAAACAAACACAAATTAAATTGATACTATAAACACAACTTTGTTTCCAGTAGATTGGGTAGTACTGCTCAATGTGGGTTAGTCTTTACTGGCTATAATAATGCTTTTACTAGGACTGAAAATAGCTTAATGAAGAATATTACAGTTACTTTCTCCAAAAGCAAAAAAGAAAAAATTAATGACGTCTGTCATCAATGGCTGTATATTTCACATAAATCATGAACAAGTATCATCTTTTTATTTCCTTATTTTCTCTTGTCTATCTTAAATCTCTTCCTCTTCAAAAACATTCTGATAAAACATATCCCCCCTTTCTTAATACTATCCTCTTTCAAGGAACAACTGTATTAAACCCCTAGGAAGTACCCTTCTCTCTTAAGAAATTTGCCTTCCCCCAAGTTAAGTCCAAATATCTACTACAACTGTCCATTTTTCTATTCTTATAAATTCTCAGTATCTAGATATATCACTTCTTTTTCCTATCTGAGCCCACCTTGATTTTATGGGGAAGAGATTAAGATTATGAAGCTATTCTACCATTCTGCCTATCAGCAATAAGAAATTTAAAAAACACTTACTAGAAAATACATCCCATTATCATCATTTTCCCAAAACGAGGCTCAATGGGGAGTTTAGCCAGGATTCGTCCCAGAGGAGTCAACTCATCATTGATATCTAATGCATCAAGCTCTGTGGAAAGACAATTCTTTGTGAACACTGTGAAGAACACCCTTCAACCTACATAAAGATCAAATATTTATTTACAGATTAAAGCTAGGATAGTGCACTTAAGATTTCATCATTTGTCAAACCAAATGCAGCACTATGTCCATAACCAACAATTCTTTTCACTCAACAGAACAAATGGGCATGGTGGCTCACGCCTGTAATCTCAGCACCTTGCAGACTTGGGCAGAAGGATCCCTGTGAGTTCAAGGTCAGCCTGGGGTACATAGTGAGTTCAAGGCCAGCCTATACTACATAGTGAGACACTGTCTGGGAAAAAACCAAACCAAAACAAAGCAAACCAGAACAAAACCAAATTCTGGAGCACTAATATAAATGATATACTAGAATTAGGTGCTACAGGTTGAAAATCTTGACAACAGCCCATGAGAAGTCTATGAATACAGTAATAGCAGCATTAATTACATGCCATACAAATCTGATACTATTGCCCAATTTGTTGGTTTTTAAAGATAAAAGAAAGAAATGTAGGGAAGTCAAGTCCACACAGCAGATGAGTGCTAGATTCACAATTCAAATGCCTATTTTGGCTCCAATGCCTTTATTTTTGCAGCATACTATACGATTTAACTGACTTAAAAACAGAAACGAATGTTCTAGGAGATATACCCATATATAAAATAAGAGTCTTGTACTTCATTTCCTGATTTTTATCAAGAGATGACACTGGGCTTTTGTCTTTTGCTCAAAATGTGAGACTCATCTCATCTCTCACTCTGTTCACTATTAGCAAGTGACCATGCTAAGTGGACAAGGTAATGTTAGAAGTCTTACTATCACAGCCCTGCTGACTCTCTACATGCTGACTCACTGTTAAATATTCTGACAGGACAAAAACAAATGGTCTAGTTAGGACCTATATTAGGCAGCTAAGTATTTATAAGTACCTCTAAGAGTGTGCTCTGCTTCAATCACAGCATCCAAAGGTGGAGGTTCAATTGCTTTGGCCAGGAATTGGCCAATTCCTCCCAGACGTAGAAGTTTTATGCTCAAAGCAATTTCATGCAATGGTGTTCGAAACATCTCAGGTGTCATATGGGTTTCAAGTCTAAAAGAAAGTAAGCATAAAATAACCATCCGCTTTATGTAAATGTATCAAAAGTGGTTACAGAGACAGAATCCAGGATAGAGCGTTGTGTCCCTTTTGTCATCCTTTTTCAGTTAACACAAAATCAGTATCTAGACAATTTGGTTGCATGGTGACCTCTGACTTTACTCTTACAGCTTGATGGCTTTTTCTTCTGGTACTGGGGATGGAACTCATGACCTTGAGTTTGTAAGGCAAGCGTGGTGCCACTGAGCTAAATCCCTGGCCTTCTCTTTTTTTAAGACATGGTCTTGATTTGCAGTCCAGGCTGGCCCTGAACTCAAGGCATTCTTCCTGCCTCAGCCTCCCAAGTGCAGGGATCAAAGATCCGTGTTACTATGCCTGGCTAATGACTTTTTCAACTGAGGAATGAAAAATAAAAAGGTTATCCTAAATCATTTATGTGATTAACCCCACTTATGGCTTATTCAAGTCCTGCCTGTTGACAAACATGGGTTAAAAATGATTACATGAAAAATACAGAAACAACTCCAGGCACACACTCATTTATACAATCTTTGACAAAGGAGCCAAATCTTTTTGCTGGAGGATAGCCTCATAGATAGTGCTGGGAATCTGGCTATCCACATGCCGAAGGTTGAATTTAGACCCATATCTCTCTCCATACACTAAACTAAAACCAAAATGAATCAAAGATCTCAATATTAGAACAGAAATAATCTGATAGAAGGAAAAAAAAAAAAAGGTAAAATCTCACATTTTATAGGTGTAGGCAAAGACTTTTTGAATAAAACTCTGGTTGCACAAGAAATAATATTAAGAATCAACAAATGGGATCTCATTAAATTACAAAGCTTTTGTACACCAAAGGAAACCACCAACAAAGTGAAGAGAAACTACAGAATGGGAAAAAACTTGCCAGCTACTCCTCAGACAAAGGACTAAGATCTAAAAGAATGATGGCAAACCTATGTCACTGTCCCCATGAGCCAAGTCAGCCCCCACATCACCTACAAAGCCAAGCATCAGATAACGGCACACATAGAAAAATTAGCATGCTCAGAAGAGAGTAGAGGCACCAGGTAACGAAGTAAATAGCCAGGACTCATTAGCCGTGACTTGACCTAGCTTTCAGATAACCAGTCATTGAGCTGCAAAGTGTTATGTATTCACTTGGACTGGTTGTGACTTTTAATGTATTTGTTTTTATTAACGTAAGATTTTGGCTGTTTCTATCATTAAAAGGAGGGGCCAGGGTATTTAGCTCAGTGGTTTCGCCACCTGCTACACAAGTGCAAGGACCTGAGTTCAATCCCCGGTACCAAAAAAAAAGTCAACTCTTATTATTAAAAGGTCTGTTATTGTATTGTATCTTTTAAGACAAAAGATATTAAGGTAAGAGGTTTTTTTTTTTTTCCTCTAAACTAAAACCTCAGTATTCGGGTTGAATTGCAGTGTTGGTATTTTTTAGTAAGTGGGTTTTGGGTTGCAGTTTGAGGACTTGGTCTCTAGTTTGCCATCACTGATCTAGAATATATATAGAACTAAAAAAATTAGACTCCCTCCCCAAATTTAAAGACTCATTGAAAAATGGGCATCTGAGACACTTTTCAGATGAAGAAACACAACTGGCCAATAAATACACAAAAAAATGTTCAACATCACTGGCCAAACAACAAAGACAAATTAAAACATTAAGATTCCCTTTCAGCCAGGCATGATGGTGCATGCCTGCAATCCCAGCACTCCAGAGGCTGAGGCATAAGGACCACGGCAAGTTAGAGGTAAGCCTGGGCTACAAAGTGAGTTCAAGGCCAGCATGAATTACAAAGCAACACCATGACTCAAAACAAACAAGATTTCATTTCACCACAGAAAGAATGGTCACCATCAAGATATGAATCCTTCTTCCTTGTTGGTGGGAATGTAAACTGATACAACCACAATGGAAATCAGTATGGAGATTCTGCAAAAAGCTAAAAACAGAAATTCCATTTGACCCAATCCTCTCTGTAGGTATCTTTCCCCTAAAGAGTTAAAAAACATCATACCACGCTGATATATGTATACTTTACATTTGTAATTCAGGCTTATTCCTAGTAAACTAATCGTAATGAAAATTCATAGAAACCATCTACAGGTGATTCTAACACTGCTGCCAAGATTTAGGACAGCTTAAATTAGGTTTATATCGGGGCTGGGGACTTAGCTCAGTGGTTCCACCACCTACCTTGCAAGTGTGCAAGGTCCCGACTTTGATCCCCAGTACCAAAAAATTAAACAACAAAAAAAAATTGGTTTATATCAATGTACAAGATGCAGCTGGATGTAGGGGCATATGCCTGTAATTTTGGCACTCTAGGAGCCTGAGGCAGGAGGATTCTAAGTTTGAGCCCAGTCCAAGCAACTCAGCCCACTATCCTATCCAAAAAACGGGGATGCAGGTGGAATGGAGTAGGGCTGGGTATTTAGCTCAATGCAAAGGCCCTGTATTTGGGCCGGGGATTTAGCTCAGCGGTTTCACTGCCTGCTGCGCAAGCACAAGGACCCAAGTTTGATCCCCGGTACCAAAAAAAAAAAAACAAAACACAAAAACAAAGGCCCTGTATTCAATCCCCAGTACTCCCCCTTAAAAAGCACATACACAGGATGTCAGTTCGTCTCAGAGGTAAGATAGCATACAAGTAAATTCATAACTTCAGAGATAAGAATATTTTAAACCATTCTCAAAATACTTAAAGTTATCGTATCACAGGGATACATGCATATTCATGTTTACAGAAGCACAACTTATAATAGCTAAATCTTGGAAGCAGCCTATACATCAACCAACAGACAAATGAATAAAGAAAGTGTAGCATTTATAGTCATTTGTAGGAAAATGAATGTACCTTAAGACAATGTTAAGTGAAACAAATGGGACAGACAAGCTTAAATATTGCATGGCTTCTCTTAAAGAGAAAATAAAAGATAAGAAACAGGGACATACAACTTTTGCAAATGGGAAAAGAACCATGAGATGGAGGGAAGGGAAGAGGATGTAAAAAGGATTAAGATGTGTTATGTACATCAATTCACGATTAATGCAGTCATGATTGCAAACATGTACTAATAAAAATATTTTAAGGGCTAGAGATTTAGCTCAGTGGTACCACACCTGCCTTGCAAGCGCAAGGTCTGGAGTTTGATCCCCAGTACTGGCGGGGGGGGGGGGGTTTAAAAAGAGAACTTTTAACTAACATGTATATCCAGAACACCTACCTAAAAACATCCCCACAAAAAGGATGTTTGGTATAAATGGGAACTGACAAAGAATTAAGATCTGGCTCTGATACAGTCTAGTGAAGACAGCTAAACTACCTAAGCTACAAATTTCCTTATCCAAATGATGGCATGTATTCCTCAAGAACATGAAGAGCATTGTGAAGCTGGTGAAGTGATAACACTGAAAAAAGATATAAATACAAGTTACTTTTATTTTAAATTTTATTTTTTTAGAAAGTTAACCACCTATAAGTATCTCTAATTCCTAAGAAAGCTATGTGAAGACAAAATGTTCAAATGCCCTTCTTTTATTAAAAAAAGAATTTAAAAATTTTTATTAAAATCTCATTGTGGAAGCTGTTCTTATCAAAATCTCCTTAAGCTTTTAGCACTTATGCAGTAAATCTGTTAAGTTCATATATGCACAGGGGATATATAAAGGTTTTAAAAATTTTATTTAAAAAAGTCCTTGGGCTGGGGAGTTAGTTCAGTGGCATAGTGCTCGGCTAGCAAGTGCGAGGTCCTGAGTTAAATCCCTGGTACCGGGGGTGGGGGTGGGGAGCAGCCCTGCTGGGCGTGGTGACACACAATTGTTATCTCAGCAATCTAGATAACTAAGATAGAAGGATCACAAGTTTAAGCCTAATATGTCTCCAAATAAAAAAGGCCAGGGATTTAGCTAGGTTTGAAGGGCTTGGTTTCAATCTGTAGTACCAGGAGGTGGGTGTCTCTTACCTCTCAAAACGAGCTCGGCTACACAGGTGAAAGCAGAATCCAGGCCTTACACGACCAGCTCGGCCTTTCCGCTGCTCGAGGTTTGTTTTGGATGCCCAGACTGTAGCATAGTTGGTCATGTTGTTGTGGGCAGTAAAAAGTTTCACTTTCTGCCTACATAGGAAAAGAGTGGGTAATTCAGTAATGCACATAACTACTTGTGAAAGGCCCAAATAAGAACTGCAATATGATTATACTCTTCTAGCTATCAATCTACTGAAACACAACATAACATACATGCACCACTTACTAGCTGGATCTCTGCCTCATCGGAAAATGGGTATAATGCTTCTGTCTACACACAAGGTTACTTATAAACAATAACTGACATAATGAACTTCAACCATTTAAGTGGGATCTGACATACAAAGGACAATTACTCAAGCCATTTCCACTCCAATGTTCAAAGTGCCATTTACAATTTTTATGATCTAAATGTTATGTAGCACATCTCATGGCCTAGTTCATCAAGTGGTTTGCATGGCCTGCTGGAACCCCCAAGTAACATTAGATTCCTTTGAAATTATTTATGTAGGTAGCTGCTACTAAGTGACTGGGACTGGCACAGAATGCTATTATTCATTCTTCTTCTTTTTTTTAAAAATTTTTTGAGACAGGGTATTGTTTTGTAGTTCAGGCTGTTCCTGAACTATGTAATCCAGGCTGGCCTCAAATTTGCAGTGATCCTCCTCCCTCAGCCTCTTGAGCACTGGGATTACAGCCATATGCAGCCTTCACTATTCTTTTTTTTTTTTTTGGTACCAGGGATCGAACTCAAGTCCTTGCGCTTATGAGGCAGGGCAGCATAACGACTGAGCCAAATCCCCGGGCCTCCTTCACTATTCCTTAAAATGGGCCCTGGCAAGTTATTTTTAAATGCCATGATTGAGGTACTATGAATAGAAGACATGAATCACAATTTACTTAGACATATCCAAGTTTCAACACTGTTGTTCCCTCTTGCATCAGTTATCAGTGTATTTATTTTTTCTATATACAATGCCTGCCCAGGGTATTTCCTAGGCTCATCTACTACTACATATGAAGTCCTTCAATTCTTTTTTTTTTCCTGGTTCTGGGGCTCGATCTTGGGTCCTTGCACTCGCAAGGCAGGTGGCAGAACCACTGAGCTAAACCCCCGACCCCTGAAGTCCTTTAATTCTTAAAACATTTTTTTAAAAGGTAGAATATCTGTCATGTGCTAAATATTGGTCATCTTTGCACTCCAAAGACCACACTATTAGTATAGCAGTGGTCAAGGAAAATAATCATAAGAAATAAGCAAAACACCAGCTGATCTGACTGTAATGGGAAGCAGCCAGAAGTTACAATGTTAAGCAATGTCATATTCTATTATAACTGATTAGTCATGAACACAAAGAATTACTGTTTCATCAATTACCTTCATGATAAAAAAAAAAAAAATACAGTGAATTTAAAGCAATTACAGTGAAAGACACACAGCCACTACTCTCCCTCACTTTGAATACACCTATCCCAATCTTGCTGCTTTCTGAAGTGGTTCTACAAGTCCTGTTTCATTATTATCTTTAGTTGTGCTATTACGGTTACCTTGATGTCTTAATTAATCAATTTACTTTTCACGGTCATTTTGACTTTGGAAGAGTCACAAGTTGGATGGTGCCAGCTCTGGTAAGTAAGGTGAATGAGGACACAACGTAACATTTTTAAGTGCCTGCTTTTCTGCTGAATGGCACTTGGGAGGCATTCACTGTATTTTTTGATCATGTTTGTAAAGAAGTTCATGAAAAGAGGATTTCTAGAACTGCTTCAGAAAGTGACAAGAATGATGGGACATGTGTTCAAAGGCACATCAGGAGAATTAACTGCAATGTGTCTTTTACTGTAATAACTTTATAAAATTTTAAACATCCACTGTATTTTTTTTATCAATTTGTGTACATACAGAGAGGCACAGTAGTTTTGAAGGTACAAAAACACAGGAGTTTAAAAATAAGGTGTTTTAATCCTGTTAACTCATGAAGGTTCCAGTTGGTAACACTAAAACAGGCAAAAAGATTTTCTGAGAACTTACTTGCAGGAGTCAATAACATAAACAACATCATTTATGGTAATGCTGGTTTCAGCAATATTTGTGGACAAAATAACCTGCAAAAAAAATGATAAAATAATTACACTTCAGAAGATATTCTACTTATGTACCTAAGAAGACAGATTTGCTCACATAAAAATGGCAGGCGTATAGTACTGTTAAAAAAAAAAATCAAGGGCTGGGGATTTAGCTCAGTGGCACTGTATCTGCCTTGCAAACATAAAGTCCTCAGTTCAATCCTCGGTACCAGAAAAAAAAAAAAAATCATTTGCCTACTAACTAGATCATGAAAAACTTAGCAAGCTTAAGCAGAGAAGACTACCTGTTTTTATTTATTTATTTAGCGAGCCAGGTAGTGCTATATAGTCCAGGCTATCCTTGAACTCACTATGTAGACCAGGTTGGCTTCAATCTCAGTGATCCTCCTGCCCGAGTCTCCTGAGCGCTGGGATTTCAGGTGTTCATAACCACGCCCAGCTGAAAAGCTTACCTTGTTCCCCCCCTCAATTTGGATGGTTTACAAATTTTGGGGGTGGCATATTGAAAGCCTGTAATATCTGCTTACTATCTATGTCACTTCTAATACCATGCTTACCTTGGTTACTCCAACTGGTACTGGATCAAACACTTTGCGCTGTTCCTCTCGAGGAATCTGAGAATGTAGAGGTAGAATCTGATACCTATGGCTTCCTACAACAATACAGAAAGGTTAAGGTCTAAACATAGGAGGCTGGTTTAAAACTACTCTTCACGACACGTTTATTAAAAAACACACAACACTGAATTTTCTGTTTTCACATATGGGCATTTTCACTCTCAAATAGGTGACAATTCAACAACTCATACCAAAATGTGGATTCATTTCCAAATGCTTCTGCATAGTACAAATCAAGTTCCAGCCAGGCAAAAAAACCAACACAGCTCCAGGAACATTAAGAGTTTCAATGTACTTAAGCAGAGCTTCAATGAGTTCAAAAGGAGTTTCCTTTTCATTCAACTGAGACATGCTCATCTTTGTTTCTGGACCATATTCATCACCACAGATCAAGTTGCAATTTGCCTGAAATAAAAAAGGTGGCATATTTTGAATTGTCTCTATTATTACAGCTTATAAGTGTTCTATGTTTATGTTCAAATGACAAAAACTGTTAGGCATACAGAAAAAAATTTAACTTCCACAAATAGAAAACCTACATCAATGTACTGTATTTTCTGATCTGTGCCAGTTCACTTCTCCTTAGGCAACCTGATGATTACCCACTCCTGCATTGGTCACCATATCTGTGCTGACCTTAAGTGTGGGCACTTGATCTGCATGGTGCAATGCAGCCCAAAAGGCACTCAAGTCATCCTCCCACCTCAGCCTCCAGAGTAGCTGAGACTATGGGTATGTTCCATCACACCTGGCTTATTCTGAACTTTCCCCCTAGTATTTCCATAGGGCACCATAAAATTAAAGAACTTCAAAAATTTGACTCTTCGGGGAGGGGATTGAGCTCAGTGGTGCGGCCAGGTGCCTCAGAAGTGCAAGGTCCCAAGTTCGATCCCCGGTACTAAAAAACAATTTTTTTTTTTATTCTGAAAGGCTTCTTCTACTAAGGAATTTCTTTCCTATTATTACTCTAAACTAATACCTAGTTTTTCAGGTATTTTCCTTGTTAATAAACTCTCCTGTAGCTTAGCAATCTTTGATCACTTCATCTATTTCTAAAATATGTGTTCTGTATCTTTTCCAAATATCCTATTTTAAAACCAGAGAAAAATCAAGACCTCAATAATGAGAAACAAAAAAAAAAAAAAAAAGAGAAAGAAACAAAGTTGGGGCAAAATTGGTCTTTTTTTTTTCCTGCTAAATTTTGTAATTTGCCATACATATACATAAAGGAGACTGACTCTCAGGATACTTTCTACCGAACCCTGCATTGTTGGCTGTTGCATAGTATTCATTCTCATCAAACTTCCAGGGAGATGAATTTTTATACTTTCATTTATCAAACTCTCAAATATATACAAAACAAATGTCCTTCCTTTCCTATTTCTCTGTAGAAAATCCCTGTTGGTCCCTGTTTAATGCTCTCTCCCCTCGGTAATATACTGCGCCACAGTCTCTTTAACCTACGAATATACCTGCTGCTTATAAACTTGGTGGTGCAAATGGATGGCCAAGGGATCTTGTTAAAATAGATTCTGATTCAATACATCTAGGATGGCACCCAAATTTTTCCTGTGTACAGGTTTCCCGGGTGCTCTGGTACACAGACAACAGAGTAACAAAAGCTTATAGAAGGGCCGGGGATTTAGCTCAGTGGTTCTGGCACCTGACTCGCAAGCACAAGGTCCTGAGTTCAATCCCCAGTACCCAAAAAAAAAAAAAGAAAAAAAAAAAAGCTTACAGGGCCAGGGATTTAGTTCAGTGGTACCACACCGGCCTCATAAGTGCAAAGTCCTGAGTTTGATCCCTGGTACCCCCCACCAAAAAAAAACCTTGCAAGATGGAACTGTCTCTAGGTGTGATGTTCAAAAATCTTACAATCTGTATGCCAAAGACAATTTTAACTTGTGGTAGAAAAATACTTATCATTGAATCTAGAATTATTTGAAGTGAATATATCAATCCATAGACAGACAATATAGTTTTTAAAAACTGTTCTGTGACCCTGGTACCCGCCCCCAAAAAAGTGGTGAGACTCATTCCATGATTTCACTAAAATCACTGTCTTTTCTCCATTAACAGCTTGCCCACAATTGAAATTCTTCATGAAATCCACTTACATCATCATCCTCACCACTGTCATCTTCCTTGTCCTTCTTTTTCTTGTCCTTTGGTGGAGGAACAAATTGGGTCATCTGAATGCAGTCTTCCAAAAAATACTCTGCCAGAGACAATCCAGTGAAGTTAAGTACATACTAAGAACTCTGAGAATGGAGCAGTCATAAATTCATTTGCTAATTCTTATCTCAAAATTCCTTACTATCCTTCAACTTGATTCTTCACAACTGTTAAGACATTTTTTTCTAATCAAACTCTATTGTGTTTCACTTCCTTAGACCTTGAAGGAGAGTGAGGTATATGTTGTATGTATTCCCACAAAGTCAGCTGTGGTCTCCTCTCTGCACAACATTAAGCCAAAACTTTTATGAAATGTCCATCACATACATAATGTACATTAACTGCATATACAGCTTCTAAAATACTGAATGAAACCTGTTCATACTCATTTCACTGAATTTACTGAAATCACTGGCAAGAAAACTCCCCAAGAATGCTGTGGTGCATCTGATACTCTAATTTGACCTTTTATTTTATTTTTTTTTTGGTACCGGGGATCGAACTCGGGACCTTGTGCTTGAGAGGCAGGCACTGAGGTAAATCCCGGCCCGGCCTTATATTTTAAATCTCCTTAACTATTACTACAATCTCTTAGAAAATCCAAATCTTATATATATGAACATTTACACCACCCTTCCCTACTTCCACAAAATTTACCTTGAACTGGGAAAGTTCTCCCATAAACTTCAATGATGGGGCAACTGAAGAAATATTCACAAAACATGCTGGTGTCAATAGTAGCAGACATAAGAACAACACGAACTTCGGGATAAGCCAAAACCACATCACGCAAGACAACCAAAAGAAAGTCAGTCTATTAAAATATAAAAACAAATGAAAAGAAATTGCATAAAATATGTGGCATGAGATCCACCTAAATGATTTTTCATATTATAAAGCCAAAAGACATCATTGAAATTAAGTATCTTATAAAGCTGTCGGCAGAAGTGCAAGCAAAAAAGGTTATTGTGAAATATAGTGACCTAATTTTGTTTTATTTTATTTTTTTGGTACTGGGGATCAAACTCGGGTCCTTGAGCTTGCGCAGCAGGCTGCAAAACCACTGAGCTAAATCCCTGGCCCTACAGTGACCTAATTTTAAAGAAAAGATGCAGCCTAAAAACTGAGAGTGCTGGGTATGAGCTCATTCCTATAATCCCAGCACTTGTGAGGCTGGAGGAGGAGGATTGCTGCAAGTTCAAGGCTAACATAGGTGAGTTCAAAGGTAGCCTAAACTTCATAGTGAGACCCTGTCTCAAAAAACCAAAAACCTTGGGTCAGGAATTTAGCTCGGTGGCACCATGCCTGCCTGGCAAGCACAAGATACTGAGGTTCAAGTACCGGCACCAAAAAAAAAAGTAAAAAACGAAAAACCTGGAGATAGAAGTGAGTGCTATTTGGATAGGAGAAGAGAAGGACAAAGAATACTAAGGGCAGCAACGAATCGATCTCCAATTTTTCAGTGAACTTTAAATTGACTAGGAACAAAAAATTATAGTCACCTGTGAGATTAATTTTTTAAATGCTGAAATCTTATTTAGTTCAAACAAAATGGTCAAGAAACTTTGCTTAAAGTATAAATTAGTTATCATTAACACAACATGAAAGTTCCTGAAAAACTTTTATCTGGCTGTGTGGACCTCTCCCTTGTGCCACCTCTAAATACCACCATCCTCAATCTTACATTTAAATTATTCCTTTCTGTACGTGAACACATAAAAAAACAAACTAACTTTTTTTTTTTTTTGGTACCAGGGATCGAACTCTGGTCCTTGTGCTTTTGAGGCAGGTGGTGGAACCACTGAACTAAATCACTGGCCCAAAAACACACTTTTTTCTTTTCTGTTTAACTTTTGAGACGTGATCTCGACGTGTTGCCCAAGTTGGCATTGCAATCCTCATGCTCAGCCTCCTGAGTAGCTGGGATTACAGGTGCATGCCAGTGCACCTAGCTTATAAAATATACCCCTTTTTTGGAGACAGGGTCTCACTACGTAGGTTCAAGCTGTTTTCACACTCATGGCAATTCTACTGCCTCAGCCTCCTGAGGGCTAGGATTACAGGTGAGTGCCAAGACACCCAGCTTAATATACTTTTACATTTTCTTTGGTGCCAGGAGGAATGAACCCAGGGTCTTCGTACTGAGCTACATCTCCAGCCCTTTTTATTTTTAGGTAGGGTTATCACAGTAAGTTACTAAATTGCCTAGATTATACTCAAACTTGGGGTCCTCCTCCCTCAGCCACCTGGACTGCTAGGATTACAGGTGTATGCCACCATGTATGGCGAATATTATTCTTCACTTCAGGGAATGCAAATTTTACGCTACCTTTTAGAATTTCCTTTTTCAATTACTATAGCATTTTTAAGTCATCAACATGTTATTCTGTCACTTTTATTTTTTCTTGGTACTGGGGATCGAACTCAGGACCTTGCAATTGCTGGGCAGGTACTGTGCTGTTGAGCTACATACCCCGCCTATTCTATCATTTTTTGTTTCAAAAAAATTCATGTTTAAAATCCCAGTCTGTGAACAAATGAATTAATTCATTTACTCTTGCAGGCATCCAGGTTGTTCCCAGGGTTTTGCTAATGCTACTATGAACGTTCCCTTAGAACTGCTGGGTGATAGCATATGATTTGTGTTAAAGTGAAACTGTTTTCCTAACTGGCTCAAGTATTCACATATCCTCACAAGCACTACTAAGAGATCTTCCTGATCCACAGTCTCCAAACACTTGCAATTATCATTTAAAGTATTTTAAAACAAATTGATAAACCAGCAC